TGAACCATCTCTCAGCCAATGGTGTCCAAACTATAGGCCGTTTGCGGCTCGACGTCCATTTTTCACCGCCCACTGGCATATACCTGGACTTAAAAATGACGTTTGACATGATGTGCAAAGCTAGTTAAAAAAAGGTTTGGAGATGGTCAGAGTAGGAATGAAGAATGTTGAGAAAAAGAGGCGGCGCTTCTAATACTAAAGCGATGTATTCCTTAAACTGTAGAGCTTTTCTCGTTTTTCCAATTTACAAAGAAATGATTTTGTCCAATTCTTGTAGGCTAAAATAAATTTCTCTCTCCAACACTGTGGTGAATAAAGATCATTCAACTTGAGAAGCAAAAATAATTTCTTCCGCTTCATACTTTGTGTCAAGTTCCACTTGAAGATCACGTTATTGATCCTCAAGTCAGTGTCATCGACGACGGTTTCCTCTTGACGTGGTTCTGAATGTGGCGATGGGATTCGGCTCCTTGAAGTCCAAAGTGTCAAATGAATACGAGGTCAATCAATAGCGGGGCATTCTGTGTGATTGGCAGATGCCCGGTGGGATACAATGCGGTCGTCTCGGATCACGCGTTTCTAGTTTTGTATGGTTCCTGTCTTGTAACAAACAACACATCTACTGCAGATACGATGTTAGTTCACTTGGTGTCAAGTTGAAGAGTTCTTCTCTTTTTAAAGTTTGTATCACTGCAAAAGCTCCTCGTGTGTGTGTGCGCGCGTGTGTGTGTAAAAACACTTGCTCTCAGGCCTCAGTTCTGCAGTGCTATGCAGTTTGTTTTGGTTTGTCTACTGATTAAAGCACCCATTGGGTAAATTTGATGACTTGCATGATCCATTTCAAGAGCTGATTGTGTTTCGAGTGAACGAGGTCCCCATGACAATGTCCGTTGTTGGGTTTGAGTTCACGAAGAGTCATATTTTTGTAATAAAAAGTGATGTGTTTTAGTTTTTGAGGATTTGTTTGCATGTTTCTCAGTTGTGACATTTGCGTTTGAACAAGGGGGAACATTGTACTCCAAACCCTTCTGGACTATTTAAATGCTGAGACTTAGATCTTTTTTTTTTTGGTCCCCATGACAATGTCCGTTGTTGGGTTTGAGTTCACGAAGAGTCATATTTTTGTAATAAAAAGTGATGTGTTTTAGTTTTTGAGGATTTGTTTGCATGTTTCTCAGTTGTGACATTTGCGTTTGAACAAGGGGGAACATTGTACTCCAAACCCTTCTGGACTATTTAAATGCTGAGACTTAGATCTTTTTTTTTTAATTATTTTGTTTCTGCAACACCTTCCTCCGATAAAATGAAGCTGTATGCTTTGTCTTATTGTCATACTTCTGCAAGGCCAAACAAACCAAGTAATTGCTATTCCAAGATTCGTTGCATTCTGTTCCTGCTCGCTTGATTGATTAGAAATAAACTGATTCTTTGGAAGGAGTCGTGTCTAAATAAGATTATTTTTGTTAAAGGGGAGGTCAAGTTAAAAACAAAATAATAATCATCAAGGTGTTCTCTGCACCTCGACTCTTGGTTGGGTATTCTGAGTGATATTGCAGAATATAAATTAAAAAAAAAAATCCACTCCTTTTTATTCATTTCAGAGGCCAGCCACTTTACCTTGTACTCGGAGAGGGTGCCCGTCGGGAATTTGGGGAAAATACGGCTGGTGTATTTCCCGGCCAGTCCAATGTTATTATTTTTCGGCACGTGACAGCCGCACCCGTTGCCGACGATGTTTTGACCCATTGACAACTTTTCAACACATGAGGGGTCCCCAACACCCCATCGCAGTCGATTCTTTTTCGGCAAGTGACGGCCACCGTCGATGTATATTCTAAATTTTGTTCCCATCGCGTCTGTACGGCCACCTGCCGTCCACTGAAAATGACAACAGAGTGCCCAAGGTTGTTGGGTAACGGCCGTCATGGTTCACCACTTTTTTGTGTATAGTTCTTGCGCACTGTGATGTCATTTTCAGTTGACAGCAAGTGTCGGGACTGGGCAAGATGGCCACGCACTGAGATGTATAAAAACAGGTAGACCCTTCGTCTTAATTCGTATTCCACACATGAAATATTTATCGGGACCCCGTGTTTAGACGAGTGGGGGGCATAGAACATATACCGTAGTAAAGACATTTTTCCGATGACTTTGTAATTTGTATTTCAGAATACAACTAAGGGGGGGGGTCCTTGGTTTTCAGTGGTGTTCAGTTGTTAATATTTGTGTGTACAAAACCTGTAGGCCATAGACAAATGACAAACACAAGTAAGACATGAAGTGACGTTTTGTACTACATTCAC